AATAACCATGTTTTTCTGCCAAAACTTAGATCACTGCTTTCATTGTTTAGCTCTCTCATGCTAAGAATCATTTTCTAGCTCATGCAGCCTCTCTTTCTTCTTTATTTCATTCTTTTTTCTCTTTCATGTGATGCTTGGGAATTAGTAGAGGTACTGTATTTTCTCGAGTAGAAGTTGTCATTGCTTACAGAAGAACAAAAAAAAAACACTTTATGATGACATACTGAAATGAATGTTAGACCTTTTGGCATAAAAAGATTCCATTCATGGGCTATTAAGAAATGGACCAGAAACTAACATCTCGAAATGCTAATTTTATGATGAAAGAAATAAGCATTAGAATCATATAAAAGGAGAACACAATAAGAGTAATATAGCTAAAAGGAGAAAGAAAAGCATACAATATCTGTTGGTCTGTTCTGGTTATACTCCGTTTTCTTTGACTCGACGACCTTCTCAAGTGTCTCTTGATCCCAGTCTTCCATTGTTTCTTTGTCTTAACAAACAAGACAATCGTCAAAAATAAAACTTTGATACAGTGGAGAAAAAAGGAAGAACAAGGAAAGAACATCAAGCAGTTAGGAAGCATAAGATCTATAACACAAACATATCTCTGTTTGACTACCTTGATCACGCTTATCACTGTAAATATCAATCTTCTCACCCTTCCTCTGGACATTCAAATCATGTGAGAACTTGCATTTGAAGCCCTTAGTGCACTGACCCGCTTTGTAAAATTCACACACGATAGACTTGGGATCAACACCTATTAAAAAGATTCCTCCATCAGAAATATAACAATTCATACACATCACTAATAAACTTATAAAAGCATGTGAAATATACAATACATACCCACAGGCACTTTTGGCTGACTAATGGCTACCTTGAACAAGTCATTCAGCTCCTTCTCTCTTGCCTTCTCTTCCTCTTTCTTTTTCTGTTCACGAAAAGCATTTTTTTGCTCACTCTCACTTACTTGATTCCTATAAAAAATTCACTCAATAACTAAAACGCAAATTTAGTTTCTCCCTTGTTTTGAAATCACTCCATAAGCAACCAGAATATAATTCAGTTCTAAATCGGTAGAGTTTACCAAAAGTTGATTCGCCCAAAAAAAATCACTAAAAACTAATTTCTCTTAACCCAAATCAATCCTTCAACCAATCAACCATACAAGCTCCAGTACTTCCCTTTTTTTTTTCGAGATACGTACTACTTCCCTATTTTTAGTATTCCTAAGCACACCCAGAATACTCGATCTTCTCAATTTCTCTATAGAACAGTAATCCTTCTACAGAAACAATCAGAAAAGGACGAAAGTTAATATTGGCAAAATATTCAAAAACGAAATAAACCTTAACGGCAACTTTAGTCGAGTCCGGTTTGGGTTGCACCGATTGCTTGAGGTTTTGGACATATTTCTGCACATTCTTGCTCTTGTTCTTATTCTTGAGCCCAAATGTTTTGTCTTCAACGATCTTTTGCTTCTTCGCTAAATCAGCCTTCGATTGCACCTTCGGCGGCATTATTGCTCGTTCGGTTTATTAGCCAAAAGTTTCAAAAAATCCGGACAAATAACAGTATTATACTGATCGAAGATGAAAAGAAATTAGCGTTTTCGATTATAGCAAAGAGTGAATTCAATTGAAGGTCCAAAGTTGGTCTTATGGCAGGAAGAGGGTTTTCTATGGTCCGTGAAGTTCCGATGATTAGACGAAATAGGAGAAGTGCAGTGGGAATGTTGTTTTTGGTTCGGATGAAATGACGAATTTCTCCTTCCATAGGCATGTTTCTGTCGGACAAAAATTTGAAAGAGAATTGGATAAATAAGTAATTTTAATCTTTCTATTTTTCCTAATTTATGAGGCTTTTTTTGGTAAATAAATCTGAATTTCGATACAGTAGAAACTTTTTAAATATAAACTACATTCATTATCTGCCTATCCTTGCAATATAATTTTTTATAATTATATAAAAAATTATTTAAATTTGATCTAAACATAATAAGATATATAAATTCATTTACCTTATTTAATAACATATATAAAGAGAAAAAGAAATCTGTAAAAATTATTTTTTAAATTCTTAATACTAAATAAATAAATTATTTTTTAGCATCTAAAAAATTATTAAAAAATAGTCTTTAAAATAATTTCATTAACTAAATTACAATAATAGATTGGTAATTCGTCAAATTTTTAGTAAAAAAAAAAAAAAAGATATGAATTTTGAGAAAAGAGCCGTTGCATAACGACCACGAGAAGCACCGAAGTTCTATCAATCAAAGCAACCCGCAGAGAGAGAGAAATGGGATTTCACGCAGCAGCTTTTAGGGTTTCTCAAATTAAAAGTAGAGCTCTGTTTATGGTTCAACTGAGTACATCTTCTTCGCGCTCCTTTTCCCGTAAGCCGCAATTGTCAAATCACCGGAAACGGTTCGCTATTAATCTCATTCTCACTCCACTATCGCCACGACTAACATTTCACAGTTGTGTTTTATTGTCAGAAGCACGTTAATTGAGTATCTAGTGATTTTCAGGCCTTCTTTTGGAATTGCATTTGACATCGATGGAGTCATTCTCCGTGGCCGTCTTCCAATTGGAGGCTCTCCGCAAGCTCTGAGAAGATTATATGGAGATTCTGCTAGTAGTATTACACCATTTTACAACATCCTGTTTACTATGCGTTTATACGTATACATATATATATGTAACAATTTAATTGGAGTGACTGGGCTTTAAAAGAGCGCATTGATTTACGGCGAATGGGCACTGATTTGCTTGGTCTAATGTTACTGCATCTTAGCATAGCTGACGGATAGCTTCTTTGCAGGGAATTTGGAGGTTCCCTTTCTGTTTCTGACAAATGGTAAGTGGTTTATCATATTTCTTTTTTATTCTGAATCATCAATAGACTTGGAAAAGTAATATGAAAATATAAATAGCTGCCGCTTCTTGTTTAGATATATTGGATTTATCATGTACGTGGGATTTGTTCATGGACAAACTGTCATATCATGTACTCAACATGGGAGCATAGCCCAATTTCTTTTGGGTGTCAATTGTAATTAGTGCTAAACTTGCCATCTTTAGCAGCCAATGGTGGTATCAAGTGAGCAAAAATGTTATTAATAAAGGACCAAGATCCTTCTTAAACCTTCCATCTACCTAAAAGTACGAGAGTAGTTTGAAGACCATTGTTATTTCAGCTTTTCCTAGTTTACTGGTGGAGGCCTACATAATTTGTCCATGTTGTGTTACAATGTGACTAATAGGCTACATGACTAATCTAGAGGGATATGTTGTACTATGCAACTTTTATGAATGAATATGATCATGAGGTACAGAGTGGTTGCATTCTAGTGATATATTCTAATATAACTCCACTTAAATAGGTGGCGGCATCCCTGAATCTAGACGAGCTATAGAGTTAACTGAGCTGCTAAATGTAGAAATTAGACCTGCTCAGGTAGTATTTAAAGACTTATTCTTAATGCACTGTTAGAAGACTGATTCCTTTGGCCACTATCATATGCAACTATCATTTTGACTGAAACAAATTGGAATAGCTTCTTCCTTTTCCTGATGTAGGT